CTCTGTGCATGACCTGTTTGGAAACGAAAGCTTATTAAGAAAATTTCACGTTTTACCTCAAGAGCAATGCGAAGACCGATCACTCTTCTCTTCATTAGCCAACCAACTTACGAACGAATCAAATCTGGAAGATAGCCTCTCAACCTTGCGTCCTCTTTTAGATGAGGGAGAAGTATACACGGACCCTGAGCCGCCAACACTTTTTCAGGTTTACAACATGTTGATTGCTCCCGTGAGTGATTTGCTAAAAGGATCTGAAATCATTGTTGTTCCTGATCGCTGCTTCTTCCAAGTTCCGTTTGCAGCATTACACGATGAAAGTAGCCGCTATTTATCAGATTCTTTCAGGATACGAATTGTCCCTTCTTTGACGACTCTCAAGCTCATTCTGGACAGTCCAGCCGACTCTCACAGCGAAACTGGTGCATTGATTGTGGGTGAGCCAAGAGTGACGGATGTGTATTTCAAGGGAGTGTTAAGGTATCTCTGTCCATTGCCTGGCGCGAAAGGGGAAGCTGAGATGATTGCGAGACTACTACCTGAATCTCACCTTTTAATAGGAGAGCAAGCAACAAAGCAGGCGGTTCTTCAGAGAATACCCTCAGTGAGCCTCGTACATTTCGCTGCTCATGGTGATGCCGAAAGAGGAGAAATTGCTCTTACCCCCGCTGACTCCACAGTGGAGTTTCCACACGAAGCAGACTACTTACTGTCAACGACCGACATTTCACAAGTTAGACTGTCAGCCAAACTGGTGGTCCTTAGTTGTTGCCATACCGCACGTGGACAGATCAAAACAGAGGGCGTTGTTGGAATCGCTCGAGCATTCTTAGGATCGGGTGCACGCTCAGTGTTGGTGGCATTGTGGGCCTTACAAGACAGAGCAACAGAGGAGTTTATAGGAAGATTCTACGAAAACCTTGTCCAAGGGAAAAGTGCAAGCGAAAGTCTTCACCGGGCCATGAAGTGGATGCGAAATAACGGTTTCACAGAAGTGAGGCAGTGGGCACCTTTCATGCTGATTGGGGATGACGTGTCATTTCACTTTGGTGAAGAAAAGTGAAGGTAATTGTTTTCTGACAATTAGAGCCATAGGAAGTCTGTCAGGTCTTTTTGTATTACAGTTTTATCAACTTGGGTGCATTGGTTCTTTTAAGTACCAAATAGAAAGCAGTATTTACCCTTAAAAGCCACATTATTGACTACATCTGAAGTTAGCTTTTACTATGACTGAGGTAAAATATCAATTAACCGCTTTTTAACATTCGACCACACCTCTGTACTTATCAGTCAACCCGTGCATATGCGGGACTTTGCATTTGAACGAAAAAAAAAAACACTAAGCCCCGAATCCCTACAACAACACAGAATGATTTAATTCTTTTCTCTCTTTTCTGATATATGAGGCACAAATAATTCAATATTCTTTTATTTGCTACGGTTCAATATGATCGTGAGGGTTTGCTGACAAACTTTTTTCTTTCTGAATATAATAGGAAGAGAATTCCAGTTATGAATCCGAACCAAACAGCCCAGGGAAGATTTTTGTTTGATAAAAAGATAATCGAATCAAAAATATTATGGCGGAGATCTAGATCTCAGAATTGATCGAAAACACTGCAAAGTACAAATTATGGACTGTGTATGGAGTCTTGACCGTAACTAGAGGGCTTTTCGCTGACACTGACTGAATTACAAAAGTACACTGGTTCTAAACTTGGACCAAAGAGGGAAGACCGAGATTCCATAGGTCATCAAGGCAAGAACTTTCAAACCTATTTTAGCTGTGCACCCTACATTTCATTTGTGATGCCAATTGATTGGAAAGTTTTAGCGGTGAGATAAACTCAAATAAGTAAACCTCTTCCGCCACGATAAAGCCGGAGGATCCCTCTTCCATGTAAAATGAAGCTAAATGCCACTTAGCCCAGCTGGAGTCTTTTGTGTTGAGTACATGTGTTTTATTAATTTTTATGTTTCTTATACATTACTGTTGCAGGTATTACACTAACGACACACCATGGAATAACGAAACAGCCCTTCCGCAGAATTCCAATGAGGTAGTCCCTGGCGGATAATGTAAAGGATCAATCTCTGCAGCATACGAACATTGATTAAAAGAATTACTGTGAAAGAGAACTGACTTGCTTGGCCCAGCGGTTTATCTTTGCCGGCTTAATTATTTTTCCCACTAATCTTATTTTGTGTGTGTATGTAGGTACCTTGAGTACTCTAATCTCTAAAATGTCTTGAAAAGCTCAAATCACCAGCTTTGTAAATGTAGAAGTGTACATCGGTAGCTCGGACAATGATAAAACTGTAATTGTGACACGAATAACGTTAGGATTAGCTAATTTCCCTGTCTTTTTAGGTAATTTGCAAAAAAACCTTACTTCCTTAATTAGTCCCTATGGCTACAAATAAAAAATACTTTTTATGTAAACGAGATTTTTTTTATCGCAAATTGAAGTTTTATTACAATGCAAACAACATTGCAAGG